TATATTTGTTTTATTGTATTTGTCAGTTTGTTTTACTTTGTTTCTTTGTTCATGTTCTTACTGTATCTTATGTATAAAACACAAAAAATGCCTGCACACTGGTCCATTTACAATTTGATGTTTTATATTCATTTCATTAAATGTTTATTTTACATTTCAGAATATAAAGCAATGTTAATTCACCTCTTAATTTGTCATATATATATATATATATATATATATATAACAAAAAGTACCGACAAGAATACCATTAAAGTACCAAATCGATAAGCAGTATCGATAAGAGTAGTAATACCGTTAAAACCTTAACGATACCCATCCCTACTCCTGGGTATGAAATGTTCAAGCAGTAGTATGAGGCAACTTCAGAGCAACTTCAGAGCATCACAGAAGATGGTGATGTGGCTGTTAACTATGACTTGGTCGACAGAAAACAAAGTTCTCTGCGGTCAAAGGGGAACTTCCTGTTGTTATGCATAAGAAAAAGAAAAGATCAGTAACACTGAGACAAATTCCTGCAAATATTAAATAGTTTTCCTTTAAATATATTCAAACATACCACACACAATTATGCAGGGTGTACTTGGAAGTTTGGCACAGTCCACTTCAGAGGGCAAGGTTGTCTGATCCACTTTATGGAACATCTGGTTCTCTCTCTCGCTGAAGCACTTGAGAACTAGCTGAAGAAACCCAGCAGCGCTGACATCATCCACATTCTTCTATAGGTAATGTGCCTCATTTCTGTGTAGCCCTTGATGTTGTACGTAACCTTTTAGAGTTTTCACAGAAACACCCGAACTATTACAAGTATAGTCTGTGAACATCTTTACATTGTGCAACTCTCACCCTTTCACTCTGACCTTGATTTTAGCCGCTCACAGAACTTATCTGTAAGGAGAAAAAAAAAGCATGTAAATATATGAAATGTTAGACAATCTACAAACATACAAAGAAATATATTGAGAAATGTATTATATCTATAGTACCGAACCCTATTTGTGTCACCTGTGAATCCCTATCAGTGAGTATTAGGGCACTGACATGTTTTTTGTGTGATTTTACACTGGATATGTAAATTTACAGTCTATTTCTGTAATTTTACCATTTATGAAAAAACTGAAAAAACTGTGAAATAAAACAGTAAAATTCCGTAAAATAACAGTTTTTAACAGTGTTATACAGACAGTAATCAGTAATCACACTGTGATGTGCGGTCATACAGATGGTAATCATGCAGATACAGCAACATTCCCCACAAAACACACACACATATATGAAAAATGTTGAAGAAAAAAAATAAAAAATAATTATTTGTGCAAAAAGCCGATTGCTAAGCTATGCCCCTATCAGATGACAGGTGCGTCACAGCGTGCGTCATGAGCCGTCACAAGAGAGCGCCAGAATTAAAATATGTAATATCTAATATCTCATGTTTTTGTAGCATTGAATTAATAAAGCATAAAAAAAGTACTGTTTCAAATATTCCGCGTACAATTTTATGTTTGAAAAATAAGAAAGGTATAAAATTCCATGTTGCTTTTTACTACCAAGATGCATTTTTTTGAGCGCAAGTTATTCCAATACGGATACAAACAATAACTGTCCCCAAAGAAATAAGACGTAAACAAAGGAATTACCATCCATATTACAACGTTATTGCTTCGTTGGACTAAAAGTGCTCTATGGGATGTTGTTCAATGGACGCTTACCTTTCTTTTCTTTTTTTTTTATATTTTATTTTAAGCTTTTCACATTTTAGAGAACAATCCCCCAAACCCCCATGCCAGCAAATCAAAGGAAAAAGAAGAAAAAACACCCTAATGACACTAATCAATGTAATCATGCATATATACATACACCCACATATAGTATACATATACATCTCCATAAACATACATCGTTCATACTTGTGTATTTATACAAGAGCACATACAGCCGTCTCTAAATATACACATACGGAGTCATAAAAAAAAATAAAAATTAACA